TGGTGGTCCCTTCGCTGGGCCTCCCCAAGAACCACGTGGTGGAGATTGTCCGGGAGTCGGGTCCCCAGCAGAACCACTTTGGCGGCGTCTGCCACGTCTGACTGGCACAAGGGCTTTGGGGCACACCCAGGAGGAGGCATGGGGTAAGCCCTTGGGACTCATTATCCGACAAGGACGGAATCCAACTCCCCCAAAGCCGCCTTCTCCAGGGATTCTTCTCCTTCCTTGGGATGACTTTGGATCCTTTGGGATATTGAACAACATATCTATCTGTCTAAAAATACGCTTCTTTCTGGCAAAAGGCTGGCGGCAAGGCTCCCAAATCTAGCTGCGAAATCGGAGCCTGATAAGAGATTTTGAGAGAGATTCACACTGTGAAGTATCTTTTCAATCCATTGAAGCGAACCGAGGATGAAAGGAGGAAGAGGAAGAGAGGAAGTGGGACATTGAGAAGGCAATGGAGTTGATGGGGAAGAGCAGGGCAAGAGAGGAAAGAGCGGCTTCCCCGTCGCTTTCCATGTTCCTTCGGACTTTGCAACGCCGGCCCTGCAGACACTGATCTAGATGGTGCTTTTTTATACACATATCTCTGTACAAAATAACAAATAAAAAAGGGTGACTGAAACGCAGTGGTTGCCTTTGTGGCTCTGTTGTTCCTTCGGTGTTTCTTCCCTCTTGTCTACACAATTCTAGTAGGCATGAGCTAATTCATGAATGGATGGCCCTAATTTAGCATTAAAGTCTCCCAGTAAAATAATTATTGCTTGCGTATACAATGCTGTTAATTCTTCCACCATAATTTCTAACTGTACCCAGGTATCAGGACTATAATAAGAGGATGTGACTGGCGGGATGTAAACATTTACCAGTATAAGCTCCATTTCTTTATGGCTGAACGTAATGGCCAACATGTTATGATTATCACCCCCCATATTTATTTATTTATTTATTTACCTTACTTATATACCGCTGTTCTCAGCCCGAAGGCGACTCACAGCGGTTCACAACAAATACGAACAGCAAAAATTCAGTGCTACAGTATAGAAACAGTTAACAACCTAACACATTACACAATTAATAAACAGTTACTTCAATACCCATTCACTGTCGTCTCGTCATCAAAAACATGTTCCAGATTCGTCATCCATTGTTCCATTCCAGTGTTCATTAACCAATCATTGCACTAATTATTCGAACGCCTGCTCAAACAGCCAGGTCTTCACCTTTTTGCGGAATACCATTAGAGATGGTGCTAGTCTAATGTCCGTAGGAAGGGCGTTCCACAGCCGAGGAGCCACCACCGAGAAGGCCCTATCTCTCGTCCCCGCCAGCCGAGCTTGAGAAGCAGGCGGGATCGAGAGCAGGGTCTCCCCGGAAGATCTCAAAGTCCTGGTGGGTTCATAGGCAGAGATGCGGTCAGATAGGTAGCTTGGGCCGGAACCATTTAGGGCTTTAAAGGCCAACGCCAGCACTTTGAATTCAGCCCGGTAGCAGATCGGTAGCCAGTGGAGTTGGCGCAACAGGGGGGTTGTATGCTCCCTGCGCTCCGCTCCTGTTAAAATCATGGCTGCCGAGCGTTGGACTAGTTGGAGCTTCCGAGCTGTCTTCAAAGGCAACCCCACGTAGAGAGCGTTGCAGTAGTCTAAACGGGATGTAACCAGAGCGTGGACTACTGTGGCCAAGTCAGACTTCCCAAGGTACGGGCGCAGCTGGCGCACAAGCTGAACAATCCTTCCCCTTGCCACTGTAATTCCTCCTTAATACATATACATAGGCCCCCTGAGGCACGCCCCTTATTCCCCCTTTTCTGAGCAGGTGTATGCCAACATTGGAATCCGGGTAATTGTACTGAGTCATCCACTTCTACTAGCCAAGATTCTTGTAATGCTAATATCTCAAAATCAGATAGGA